TGTGTGTGTGTGAGTCACGCAGCTTGACTCAGGTAATAACAGGTGTACAGGTGTGTAATCACCTTCACCACCTGCTGAACCTCAGACCGCTGAGGAGCTCAGGCCGGGGTTGAAGCAGCCAATCACGGCTCAGCTTTGTTAGAGAAAGTGACCTCTGAGTCACGAGCCTCAAACACACCTGAGCAGGTGCTACGGAAATAAACAGTCCAAGGGGTCGTGACCCTGACAGCGAGGTCTCAGGGGCGGGATAAATGCTGGAGGCGGGGTTAACGTTCTATGATATTGATACCTGATTAACCTGACCTCTGACCTCTAACTTGCCTGTTTGCGGTCACTTCCTGCAGCACAACGCGCCGATCCCTCAGGGCGGCCGCGGGGCGATCCAGTTCGTCACGCAGTACCAGCACTCGTCAGGTCAGCGACGCATCCGGGTCACCACCACCGCCAGGAAGTACGAACACACCTGCCTCCACCCCATCACTGCACACACACACCTGAATTAATCCCGCCCCCTTCTCTTCCCCTCAGCTGGGCCGATGCTCAGACGCAGATTCAAAGCATCGCGGCGTCCTTTGACCAGGAGGCGGCGGCCATCCTCATGGCGAGGTTGGCAGTGTACCGGGCAGAGACGGAGGAGGGGCCGGACGTGCTCAGGTGGTTAGACAGACAGCTGATCAGACTGGTAGGAGAACACACCTGCAGAGTGAGCGCCGCGATCGATGCGAACAGGAAGCAATTGATACCTGTGTTTGTGTTCAGTGTCAGAAGTTTGGCGATTACCACAAAGACGACCCGAACTCCTTCCGGTTCTCCGAGACCTTCTCGCTGTATCCCCAGGTGACTCCCGTAACGCTCGGCACAGACGCATCTGTGACACGCGCCGGGATGCTGACGCGTGTTTGTGTTTCAGTTCATGTTCCACCTGCGGCGTTCGCCGTTCCTGCAGGTGTTCAACAACAGTCCTGACGAGAGCTCGTATTACCGGCACCACTTCAACCGGCAGGACCTGACGCAGGCGCTCATCATGATCCAGCCGGTGCTCTACGCCTACTCCTTCAACGGCCCGCCTGAGGTACCTGTACACCTGTGTGCACACAGTGCAGAGTGAGCAGCTGGACGTGCAGGTGTTTCAGAATCTGAAGTCCTCATTGTGAAACAAACTGAGTTATTGATCGTTGATCGATGAACTGATCAGACTGCGTGTGTTTCTAGCCCGTCCTGTTGGACAGCAGCAGCATCCTGCCCGACCGAATCCTTCTGATGGACACGTTCTTCCAGATCCTCATCTACCACGGAGAGGTACACCCGACACCACCAATCACACCCCAGCACCTCGTGACATCACAGCTGTCTCAGCCAATCAGGGTCCAATAATTTAATTAGTTCAGTTCAGTTCAGTTTATTTTTATTTCAAACATTTCAAACATGAGCCTTCACAATCATTACAATATATTATTCCATTATTTGTTTGAAAAGGAGTAGATAGAAGTATTTACTTATTTGTCCCTACCCCCTCAAGTTTTACCTCTCATTCAAAAAAATTTTTTTTTTTTTTTTTTTTAGTCTTAAATTAAACAAACAACATATGAAACAAAAGTAAAGCAAAACAAAACAAAACATACATAAATCAAAAACTAGAAATTAGCAATCCCCACCACAGTATACGTTCTTTCATATGAAAAATACAGAAGGTGTATATTTGCAGATACACAAATTATGAAAAAACAAACAACCAAAACAAAACAAAACAAAAAAACCCCAAAAAAGAACCACAACACCATTACCAGCAACATTACCGTCCTGGGTTAACCCCGTTTTCTTCATTGTTATACTTATTTAAAATCAGGTTTTTATATCTTACTTTAAACTGTTTTATGTTTTTACTGTCTTTTATTTCTTCTGTTAGTCTGCTCCATAATTTAACTCCTGCAATTGAGATGGACATCGTTCTTAAAGTTGTTCTAGCACTTTGTATTTTTAAATTCCATTTCCCTCTTAAGTTATACCCACCTTCTCTTTCTATGAACAATTTACAGATTTCTTTTGGAAGCAATTTATTTCTTACTTTATACATTATTTGCGCTGTTTTAAGCTAAGTTTTAGGATAGAGGATTATCATTCAGATGGTTTCTTTAAACGTGATCCAGCTGTTTCCATCACAGGTGTGACGCTGAGCTGAGTTCCCACCTGATTTCAAACCTGAACGTGCTTCAGTCAGCTGTTTGCAGTTTTACCTGCTCGTTCATATCCTCTCGTTAACTCAACGATTCACCTCACATGAGCTCAAAACACACAAAACTTTAAAGAACCACGATAATGAGCCGTGCAGGTGTACAGGTGTGTCTCACTGCGTCTCTCTGTTAGACTGTGGCTCAGTGGAGGAAGGCCGGCTATCAGGACATGCCCGAGTACGAGAACTTCAAACACCTGCTTCAGGCTCCGGTGGACGACGCCCAGGAGCTGTTGCACACGCGCTTCCCCATGCCGAGATACATCGACACGGAGCATGGCGGCAGCCAGGTGAGGGCGCAGGCACACACCTGAGAAACACATCAGCTTTATTTACATCACGTCAGATCACGAGGCGTGACATCAGCACAGCGGCAATGTGACATCATCACCAATTTCCCCTTTTTGCAGCTGTGCCCACACCTACGCACCTGCACACACCTACACACACCTGCACACATGATCAGCAGGTGAAAGGTTTTCTTCTTCTGCTGTTTTCAGGCTCGCTTCCTGCTCTCCAAAGTGAACCCCTCCCAGACCCACAACAACATGTACACCTGGGGGCAGGTAAGACTTTAACCTGTAATCTTTAACCTTTAAATGTGGACCAATCAGACGCTGTGTTTACACAAGTCCGCCCCCCCCCACCGCAGGAGTCCGGTGCTCCGATCCTGACAGACGACGTCAGCCTGCAGGTGTTCATGGACCACCTGAAGAAGCTCGCCGTCTCCAGCGCCGCCTGAGTGTGCCATCGGCTCACCTGTCCTCATCTGTTTGCTTTTTATTTGTTTTCTTGCTGCCTGTGTTTCCATGGCAACAGTCCACAAGCACCATCAACCAATCAGCAGCAGTTGTAACCTCACAGTGTAGAGATGCTATTGTTAATTGGCCTTTTTAAAAAAAATAAAGTTGCATTTGATTGGTTGATCCTCTCAGACGGCAGCAGTGATAGCTTTCACAATAAAAGCCACTGTGTAGTTTTAGTCTGTGAAGCTTTTATTGTGAAACAACAGCAGGAAGTGGTGGCCGTCGGGAGTTTTTCCCCCCCCTAAAAGGTTTTAAATTGATTTTAAAATTTTAACATGTGATTTTTTTAAATTTAGGAACAGGAAACAGGAAGTGAGGTGTTTTTTTTTTTTTTTTGTTTTTTTTTTGAAAGCATGTGATGTCACTGAGCGCGCGAAGCTGTCTGCTTGTGTTTGAACACTAACCGAGAACGAGCGCAGAGGTCCACCTCGCCACTGTTCTCGTCTTTCTAATAAAATCTGCAGAATTTTACAGAGTTTGTCTTTTTCTGAACGTGACGCTCTGATGTCATCAGACGCTCGCAGCACCTGTGCATGTGTGACTGAGCCCAGTGTTTTATAAAGCTCACACCCTGCAGACAGTCTGTTTGTAACTGTGATCGGCTGTAGATGATCACAGGACTGCGGTTGCCTCCACCTCTGCTCAGACACCATCAGTCATCCCAGCAAATGGCACCACCCCAGATTTAAAAATCCACTTTAGGGTCACACTTTTCCTTTAAAGTGTGAGAAGGAAAAGAAACCTAACAGACCCTCGAGGAGCTTCTGCTGTCAGTCGAACAGAGTCCGACTTTCACCCTGAATTAACCTGAGGTACCCGCCTTACCATCTGAGCATTCCCACTCACACAGGTAAAAACAATAAGCCAAGCTGTGGGGTGCTCAACATGTGCCACACCCACAGAAACAGACACCTCTGCTAAAACGCTGCAGGTGAGCAGGTGGAGTGGAGTTCAGCACTGTCAGTTCAGGGGCTGCGTCCTCCTGAGGACCGGGCCTTCACAGTCTACGTGTCCTCCCAAGACCGAGAAGGCCGGAAGCGAGAGGCTGTGAGATGGGACGGTCTAGCCTTCAGATTTGAGCCACCAGTGGAGTTCAATAAACTCGGCCGTCTGCTCCTTGCTATCTAAAATATAACAGGACACTGGAGTAAACTCTCAGGCATCTCACACTTCTGTTTAATCAGTTTTTTGTTTGATGTTTATTCAGCTGTGGGGAAAAAATTGGCTGGGCCGTGCTATGAATTCTGGGATAAGGTGGGCCACGAAGGACACACCCGACCCATCCTTCAAATTCTGGAAAAAGGAGGATGCATTTGTCGGCTGCATTAGGAGGAGTCTACAGCCTTCGTCATGTCGTCGTTGTTATCGGCCTTCAAATGCGGCCTCCGGAGGATGCAGCCTTGGAATTGGGACACAGCCACTGTCTGGGTCGGAGCTTCCTTTACTCAGGAGAGGAGACACAGCAGCATCCTTCTTGAAAGGAGGGGAGAGGTAAGTATAGTCAATTTGTGGTCCTCCCACCTAAACATGGGACACACATACACACACACACACACACACACACACACACACACACACACACAGAGGTCTGCTGCTGTGTTTCATAATCTGACTTCAGATCAGCGGAAAGATGAACAAATGTTTAAAATAAAATCTAAATAAAAAGACGCTGATAATTGGCGTCTGTCTTGTGTCAGTGACGTAAAAGACGGATTTAGTGCAACACGACCATCAAACAGCAGCTTTCTAAAACATTAGATATGTATCGGATTCAGAACCACATACGAAAGTGACCCAGATCAGATTTGAAAATATCAGATTTGTGCCGTTCACACTGTGATATGGGTCGCAGAGGGTCACAAAAAGTCGGATTGGATGCGCTTTCGCCTGCAGTGTGAACGTAGCCATAGATACCAGCTAATGACCTAATAAAGAATCACTAACCACAAATGTGTGTTTCTTTTTTTATTTAGTTTTTAAATTATCAATCACTGAAATGAATACAAATACAGGTGTGTGATGGAACCCCTGGTCTCTGTTACACACCTGTATCATCTGAGCTGAGGAGCAGGATTTTAAACTCAGGGTTTAACAGGGAGCCTCAGTAAATCAGTAACAGTCATCCCAGCAACACTTCTCGCCCTCCACTGAGGACAACTGCTTATCCAGACTCGTTACTTCCCCCAGGGAGCAACTGCATCAAAGAAAAGTAAGTCATTATATTACTTTGGTGCTACCGTGTCCATCTCTTCACGTCCGCACTCCTCTACAGCTGCTCCACTATCCCCGCCCCCTGCACACCACCCAAAACCAGCTGAGCACGTACAGATAACTGAAGAGCCTGTAACTGTAATGTGATTACTGAAAACAGTAATGTGATTACTGTGATGTGGTCTGTTCCAACACTGTATGAGTAATGAAATGAAATTAAATGAATGTGAAACTGAAGTCACTATTTTTTTTTAACAGGAGAATAAAATTTGGATGAAAAAGTAAAACTAATGAAACTAAATGGAAATAAAATTAGTAAAAATTAAAAGTGACACGAAAAGTTTTCCGAAGGAAATTTAAATAATTTAGCAACTATGATGTCAAAGAAAACGGTAAAAAAAACCTGAAACAAAAATATTGCAATGAACTGTGAAAATCAATCGACTTAAACACACTGATCATTGATTAAAGCCGTTATTCCAAAGTATCCGAGTACTCCGCATCAGGCGGAAACTCTGATGTCACACCAGCAGGTGGCGGTCATGCGCAGTAAAAAAACACACACACACACACACACCACCGGTATCATCTGTGAAACAACTAAAAGTCAGCTGCACTTCCGGTTTGAACCCCACTGATATGATTAAATATAATGACGCCCATAAATATTTACTAGAAAAGAAATAAAGAAAACAACAACGAAACAAATGGAAAAATGTGTCATAATAAAAATGTTAAAAGAAATATAAGAAAACATGGAATGGGCTGAAACAAAGTAAAACAAAAATTATTTATAGATTAAAAGCAGAAAATATGAACCAAACTGAAGAAAAGGTAATTCTGGTGTTTTTAAATAACATCTGTAAGAATAATGCAAATAAATGTGTGTTTAACAGAGTTATTGTAGTGCCTAATTAGTTTTTATTCCGTTTAGATTTTTGTTCATAACTCAGTTTTCAGTCACTTTTAATTTTAGTTTTATTTAACCATAATAACACTGCTATTTAATGAAACCGAATATTTATTTTAGTTAATTAGAATGTGTTTTCATTTTCATATTTAGTTTTATTTAACTATAATAACCCTGCTATTTAATGATAATGAAATTTTAGTTTAGCGTGTAGCTTTTATTGTGAAGGCGCATCCGGCCCGCGCGGCCTCGCGCTGGGTAAATTGGCGGGTCGGAGTTTGTGGGAAAACAAACGGAGGAGAAGTTTTCCCGGAGTCTCGAGCTATTCTCCTTTGTTTTCATGATCTTCATCAGTCACTCCTCCTCCTCTTGGTCCGCTGGGCAGTGAGGCTCCCGCAACGGACAGACCGAGCCGGAGGAAGAGGAGGATGCGGAGATGAAGCTGCTGCTGTGGATCGTCGTGTTATCCCTGCGGAGCCCCGCGGGGAGCTGTGGGAGCGGTGAGTGTCCCGGGGGTCGTGGGCAGTTAGCACAGGAGCTAATGCGACAGCTTTACATCCGCCGAACTCCGCCCGGAAATTGTCAGATTTAAAGATTTTACCGCCTGTCAGACACTCACAGGGTCAGGCTCACCTGACGCTCCGAGGTGATGGAGCCTCGCAGTAAATCGGCCAACGCGAGTCACACCAAGCAGCGTTTATCTGAAGCTGGTTCGCTTGTTTTCTCACGCACAGACCCCTGCTCTGACCCGAACCCGTGACAACTTCACATTTTAACCGAGTTCTTTCTGGTTTGTTGCGTTGCGATTTACCTTCAGGCTCGTGACAAACTAAAGAGGTCATGCCATGAAGTCATTTACAGCACGTGGAGCAGCTCGAGGACACATTATAGTTCTTAAATGGAGTTTGGTGCGGGGACTCGTAAACAGAGGTCAGGGGGCAAAGTGCAGCTTTCCGGGCTGATACTGAAGCCGTGGGCTTCAGGAAGCTTTTATGGTCCCCGAGTCATGATGTGAAGCTGTCAGTCATTTTATTCAGGACCCACGTCACTGCGGGTGTGTTGCAACTCACCTGTAAACATGCGCGCGCACACACACACACTGCAGTGAGTTGCTCAGGTTAAATCATCAGACTTCTCAGCACTGCTCTGAGGTCATGTCCTCAGGTTTCTGTAAAAAATAATCTAAACTCTTTTATTGATATCACGTCTAAATCCTGAAGTTTCAGGATCACATGAACACCTGTAGCGCCTCACCTGTTTGTGTGTCAGACTGAACCTGAGTTAGTCTGCTCACAGGGGCGGAGCAGTGATTAGTATTGGTTATCGGTATTTTTACTGATGCTTCGCCCAGTGCACCATTACATCATCCTTCCAGGAAGTGATGACTGCTGCCTTGTGATGTCATCAGCGCATAGAAAGGCTTTCACCTGGCTGCTCTCTGATTGGATCTGATGTTTGATTGGGTTTCAGTCAGACTTTCAAAATAAAAGCAGCTGAACTGTTTGAGCTCCTGTATTTTCATGAACCCTTTAAATGTTCAGATTATTGATCAGTGATCGGGGAGAGACTGAAGGAAGGTAAAATAATAGATTCTCAGGCAGCTTCTGAATGGAGTTCTTATGGAGGACGTCAGTGATGATGAGGCTGTTCCAGAAAGTTCAGAGAAGTGTGTTAAGTTTGAGATGAAACACTGCTGCGTGGAAAACACACACACACACAGATCTGCTGATGAACACGTGTTAAACTTTCAGTATGACAAAACGATTCAGACTGAAGAGCTTGGGTGAATAGATCAAGCCGACTCCTCCTACTCCAGCAGGTGTGGTGTTCACAAAGCATCCGTCCAATCAGACGGTGTCTCAGGGGAACGAGGTGCGGCTGGGCTGTGCGGTAGAAGGCGTGACGGAGCCGGAGATCACCTGGATGAAGGACGGCGAGAAGCTGTACAGCACAGATCAGGTGTTCCTCACGCTGGGAGAGCAGCACTGGGAGACGTCACACAGGTGCAGAACACTCGATCAATGTTTTTCTCCTAACCTTTCGTTTGATTTTCAGACTGGGGGGCGGGGCTGCCAGAGTGCTGTGATGTCATCGTACTGTCAAACCACGTTTGTCTCTTCGTTTAATTATCAGCCAGCGGCGCTCACTCCGCGGCTGCTTCCTGCTGACTCAGCCGGAGGTCATTCAGTGTGAAGCATCAGTCTCCCTTCTGAAAGGGAAGAAACACAATATTAACGTTTTTAGGCTAAACTGTAAGAAAGCAGCTGGAGTTCCACAGGGTTCTGTACTGGGTTCTCTGTAGTCCTGATGCCTCTGGACCTCCTTCAGGTGAAGCTCTACACAGGTGATTCAGTGCTTTATGTTCAGGCTTTCACATGTGACGCAGTCACATCCATCACACCTGAGGCTGAGTCGAGTAAAACAGGAAGAGGCGAGCAGCGAGGCGGTGAGCACAGGCGTGTCAGTGAACGTGACAAAGGTGAAATAATCTACTTTTTCACCTGTTCGTGCTCCAGCAGCTGACATCTAGCAACCAAACGTCAGTTTATACACTCTGATTTATGTTGCCTGTCTTCAGGGTTAGTTCGTGCAGGTGATGGGTGCAGCTGTGGAATCCAGCACGTCCTGTTCCTGTCAGCCGTCATGGACCTAAACAGTGTGAATGTGCAGAGGAGAAAGTTCTCTTCCTCCATCTTGTGTGTTTGTTAGAAACAAGCTGGAGTTGAGTCATTATACGATGTAATGTTTCCGTCCTGGAACCGTTTTAAACTCTTAGCTGTGACGTTGTGGCGAGAATGTTAAAGTGGTAAAAAACTCCATGCAGTCTGCCCGCAGCTCGCCGTTTGTGCTGTTTAATGGTTAAACAGACGTCCTGCAGTAAACACAGAGCTGCTGCTTTGAACTCGATCTCCTTCCAACACCACCTCCTCCATCTGTGAAATGAAAAGCCCGCTGACATCTGGCGGAGGCGGTCCTAGGTTTGATTCCAGGCTGCAGGTGTTCGGACTGAGCGCTTCCTCCTGCGTGATCTGACAGGACGCCCAAAGAGGAAAAAGTGGGGATGCTGCTGAAATTCAGCACCTGGCCTGATGATGGCGCTGTGGCTGTTTCAGTGACTAAACAAAGACTCAATGGGCCTGATTGGCTTATCATCACAGTAACACCAACCACTCCACCCTCTGGTCCAAATTTGAGGTGCAGATGTTTGAAGCAGAGCCCTCAGCTGGTGGATCAAAGCTCTCATGAACCGTGCTCTGTGCTGTTATTGGTGTTGTGGTCTGTTTCAGTGTGAAGTCGGTCCAGCAGCTGGATGCGGGTCAGTACTGGTGTGAGGTGGAGTTCCACGGCCTGACCTTCTCCTCTGAGCGCGCCTGGATTACAGTGGAAGGTGAGACCCTGAGCATGGTCGCCTCCCCCTCACGTTTCCCATCATGCTCCAGGTTCACCTCCTCTTCTTCCTGCAGGAGTTCCTCACTTCACCCAGGAGCCTCAGGATGTGGCGATGTTCGCCGGCACGCCCTTCAACCTGACCTGTGCCGCCATCGGCCCCCCCGAGCCCGTGGAGGTGCTGTGGTGGCTGGGAGGAGTCCAGGAGGGGGAGCCCAGACCCTCACCTTCCATCCTTCACGTCCCAGGTCAGAGAAAAATGGCATCCAGGTGCATCATGGGAAAGGTCCTCAAGTATCAACCAGCCTGTGGGAGGAGCTACAGTGCGCCATTTAAGTTCAGAAAACGTTATTACTGAAATGATGAAACACACACAGCTGTTTGATAAATGAGTCAGACACAGCTTCATGACCCCATTATTCAGCAGTTAACGACACACACACACACACACACTCACACACACGAGCTGGATTTAATCCACAGGTCGGTTTAACCAGATCACGCCGTGTTTCTCCAGATTAAAGTTCCCACAGCCTCAGCTGAGTCATAC